AAGGACAGTCAACCTGGTAAGAAAAGAGAAAAAGAAAATCGGTTACTGCAATTAACAAATAGGAACAAGACATATGGAGTTATTCCATGGGGGAAGGGAAGAGGAGATGTGAAAGAAGGAAGAGGAAATCACTAGGAGAGCAGAGTCTAGTGGGCAGATGGGGATGTGAAGGAATAGGCAAGGTGCAGGGAAACGTTGATGAGATGTAAGTATAAAAGTAATAGATTGTTGTTTTGTTGATTACCTTCATGTCTAGCATGAACCATAGCGACCCTATGAACAAAAGGCCTGAAGCCCCTCTACAACTATCCGCATTTATCAAAGTTCATAGAGTTTCAGGAGGTGAGTTGTTTAGGAAGTATAGGCCACTCCTATAGTAATTAATATATAAATCAAAATATTCAGAAATAATTGTCAAAAAAATAATTGGGCAAAACAAGATATGTGAATAATTGTATAAAAGTGAATGATTTTATAAATCACATTATATATGACATAAATGCAAAAGGAGAGGTGGAAATTGAGAAGGGGGCAGAAGAAGAGGACAGGACTCACTAGGACAGGAGGGAGTACTGGGCAGATGGAGGGTGTGAGGTGATGGGTGTGATGCAGTGAGGACTTGATGAGATGGAGTGATGACAGGCATAGATCAACAGTAATCAGTTAAGTGGAACATATGGATGTGAATGATTCTTTAAAACACAATTTCTAGAAATGGAACACAGTGAATTGTGAAGGATTGTATAAAACAATGTACCATAATGAAACACAATGTCTATGAATGATTGTATGTAAAGCAATACCATTTTTAAAAAAACAATTTTCCAGAAAGAGTTAGAAAGAGGGAGAGAAAGAAAGTTGTTGGTGATGTTGTTTACTATAGAGTCAGAATCAATTCATGGTTGACCTTCTAGTGGGTTTTCAGAGGCGATAAATGTCATGGAAGAAGATTGCCGTACTATCCCACACAGCAACAAGTGGAAATTAATTGCATGTCTTTGTGTTAGCAGCACAGCTCCTTGTCACTAAGCCACCAGTGTTCACTGGGTGAAATATTCCCTGGAGAAATTGTCAGATGGAGAATTCTCAGATCACTAACGGAAACCAGTCTTTATCCCACATCTGCACCTGTTTGTGGATCTAACTGCTGTGCACGCAGCTCCCACAGAGAGCTTTCTGTCTGGGTTCACAATAACTTTTCCTAACTGTGTGTCTCTTGCACAGTAATACGTGGCTGTGTCCTCTCTTCTCAGACTGTTCATCTGCAGGTACACCATGTTCTTGGCGTTGTCTCTGGAGATGGTGAATCGGCCCTTCACAGACTCTGCGTAGTATGTACTACCACCACTATAACTAATAGCTGAGACCCACTGAAGTCCTTTCCCTGGAGCTTGGCGAACCCAGTACATGTAGTAGTCATCGAAGGTGAACCCAGAGGCTGCACAGGAGAGCTTCAGAGACCCTCCAGGCTGCCTCAGGTCTCCTCCAGACTCCACCAGTTGCACCTCACACTGGACACCTGCAAAAACAGTGACATTCTGGTCAGGAACACCGTTATACATGTCCATTTTTTACCATCAGCCCACTCACATACACTTGTTCTCTACAAAATTACCTTTTAAAATAGCAACAAGAAAAATCCAGCTAAATGGAGACATAGTGACTTGTCAGTGTTCAGTCCTGATTCCTAAATGAGGACACCTGAAATCTGGGGCTCCTCTCCCAAAGCTTCAAGGTTGAGGCTGGGCTGGTTTTCATCAGCAGGAGAAAGAGCCTAATTTGCATGCGCTCCTCCTGTATATTAGCAAGATGTGGAGTGGCATGACTCTGTGTGACCATACCCAGAGCAGGCTCAAGTGTCCTAAAAGAATTAAAGAGGAATAAGGGAAATATTGTGGGGGAAAAGTGGTTTCTTATTTTTAAAGTTTTTATTGATGTCAGAGTGAAAATTTAAAGAGCAGATTTATTTTATTTTCAACAATATTTATTCATTTTTCTGTGTGACATTGATTAAAATCCCCCTAGTAGCTGCACATTTCTTGTTTTCTCCCAGTGATTTTGCTTTGTTTATCCTTCCATCCTCTCCCTTCCTGCCTTCTGAGATTTATATCTCAGTACATTCTATGTTTTTGATCTTGTATGGTTGTTTATTCTAAGATTGAATACTTTCTTGATATTATTGTTTGGCTGAAAGCTGAGCCACAGGGGTGAGTTCATTTGTAGATGGAAAGGATTACTATGAGGCTGTTGAATGTCCTTAACCCACTTCTATCAGACAAGTCAACATGGTCACTCTTGGGAGTTTGTGTTTTATTCCATATTTGTCTCACACAGTATCCAGTATGGTCTAATATGACCACTTCATAGTAGGCTATAGCATTTGAAAGGCCATACATTTGATTTAGCCTCATAATCACAGAACGTGAGGGCTTGTGTGGTCTATTACAATTATAGACAAGTTGTTTCATTGCAATATTCATTTTCTTCTCTGTTATTTGTTCTAGAAAGTTAGAGGAACTTTGTCACATTGAAGATAATCACTACCAAAATTCTAAGACCCCTGTTAATACTTATATATGTATTCTTAAGATTCATAAATATAGGATCTACAATATCTCCAGAGACTTTGGCCCAAGCATCTGCCAGCAAATCTCATTCCCTAAAGTCACATTAATAATAATGATAAGAAGTTCACATTAGGCTGCCCCCTGGTGGTTCCACTATTTATGTGCATGTATTTACAGCGTATACAAATACATAGATTCACTGACAACAACGTGCAGGATCATGAGTTTAATCCCTTCACCTTCCCATATTGCTCACCTTTCCATCTGCTTATGTAGATAATGTTTGTAAATATTGATAACATGGAATCTTGTCTGCAACCTTTGTTCAAATCTGTGGGTTTCTCTTAATTAATAATAATGCTGATTGATCTATTTTTGACTATATTATTCTTTTCATCCAAATTAAAAAGTGTTTATCATGTAATTAAGGATCACTGTATGAATAATGTGTAACATGGTAAGATGCTAACTGATAGGTTGGTGGTAAGAATTCATTAGTACATAGATAAGCTTTTCTCCTGCAAAATTCACAACCTCAGAAACCCAAGAGAGTAACCATGAGTTGAAATCAACTTAAGAGAAGTGGACATTATCTTATTACTCATTTTCTCTTCCCTGTTAACCATAAAATAATGTTTCTTCTCTATGTAATCTTTCTTTAATTTTTCATACTGTGGACTCATGCAGTGTGTGTCCTTTTGAAATAATTTAACTATCTTTCCCCTAGCTTAATACATGATGTGTGAGTCTACACATCCTTCAATATTCCTTAATACCGTATAATGTTCCATTTTTCACATCTGTTATAGTTGCTTATCCATTCAGCCATAGAATACCATGGACTGCTAAGAAAACAAACAGATTTGTCCTGGAAAGGGTTAAACCGGGTGGCTCCTTGGAGGCAAGGATTCTGAGGCTCTGTCTAACATACTTTGGACATGTTG